CTACAAATACTCAACGACAGCGAAGAAAACCAAAAACTGTTGCACAAACTACCAAACTGGATAAACGCGAGATGGAACAGGCAGGTAACAAAGACTTTAATGGAGGGCGGTGAGTTTCCAAGTTTTACTGCCTTTGCCTCCTTCCTCTCAGTAGAAGCTGAAGTCGCCTGCAACCCAGTAACCTCCATTTATGCACTTCGCTGCACTGAAACAAACAGCGACAAAAGGAACACAAAGGAAATCAAAAGAAACAAGGCAAGTGTATTTAACACAAACACAACCGAACAAAGTGATAAAAGGACAATAACAAAAACACTTAACGGCTCTCCTCCATGCACAATGTGCCAAGGCACCCATCAACTTCACAAGTGCCCTTACTTCTTGAAAATGTCTCTAGAAAACAGAAAGAAGCATGTGAAAGACAATAGACTTTGTTATGGCTGTCTAAAACAAGGACACAGTGCTAAGGACTGCAAACGCAGCCTCACTTGTGAGACTTGCACAAAGCGACACCCGACATGTCTTCACGATGAAAATTACAGGAACGGTCTGCAAAGTGAAACACGTGTGACCACAAACAATGCAGCTCAAGGTAACTCACCTGAAACAGCATCAGCCATGTCACTTAATGTTGCCAGATCTGAACAGTCAGTGAGCACCTCAATGATAGTTCCAGTGTGGCTGTCAACTACCACTAACCCACTCAAGGAAAAACTGGTCTATGCGTTATTAGACACTGTATTCATTGATCAGGATGTCACACATGAGCTGCAGGCAGATGTTTGTCCAGTAAGGCTGAAACTAACCACTATGATGGGTAGAAATGCAGTTGTAAGCAGTGGAAAGGTGTCTGATCTCTTAGTGAGAGGTTATAACTCAGCCACAGTCATAAAGCTCCCCACTGCATACACCAAGGATTACATACCTGCTAACAGAGAACACATACCTACATGTGAAACAGCCAAACAGTGGAGTCACTTGTTACCGATCGTAGACGAGGTCCCTCCACTCCTCAATTGTGAAGTAAGTCTCCTCATAGGCTATACTTGTCCTAGAGCTCTCGCACCCAAACAAGTAATCTTGGGCAAAGAAAATGAGCCCTATGCCATTCACACTGATTTGGGATGGAGCATAGTTGGCAACTCGACACCATGCATCGAAACAGATTCGGCGAGCAGTCTCTGTCACCGAACCACTGTTAAAGAAATCCCTCCCTCCACTTCAGCAGATGCAATACGTGCTTTAGAGAGAGATTTCAAAGAGACTGACGGGAATGAAAAGACTGTGTCGCAAGAGGACTTAGTATTCCTTCAGAAACTTGAGCATGGCATAACACAAACTGAAAATGGACATTTTGAAATGCCATTACCATTTAAAGAAAGACACAAATGCCAGATAACAGACAACTCGCTGAAACCAGGCTAAACCAGCTCAAACGCAAATTCCTGAAAGACGAAAAATACAAAAGGGAATACATGAAATACATGAGCGACATCATCAAAAGAGGTGATGCTGAAAAGATTGATGATAATGGACCGCCCGGAGAGACATGGTACATACCGCACCACGGCATCTATCATCCAAAGAAACCTGAGAGGTTGCGCGTGGTCTTCGACTGCTCTGCGAAACACAAGGGCACCTGTCTTAATGAGCATTTACTGAACGGTCCTGACATGATCAACAACTTAACTGGTGTGCTTGTGCGCTTCAGACAGCACCAAGTAGCTCTCATGTGTGACATCGAAAAAATGTTCCACCAGTTCCAAGTCAAAGAAAATGATCGAAACTACTTGCGCTTTGTATGGTGGAAAGACGGAGATATGAACAGCCAACCACAAGCGTACAGGATGACAGTACACCTCTTTGGCGCTGTTTCATCACCCGGCTGTGCGAACTACGGACTCAAACATTTAGCCAAAGAGAACAGTTCTACATATCCAGTTGGCTCACGGTTCGTAGGAAGAGACTTCTATGTAGACGACGGAGTCACCAGCGCAGAGACAGTAAAGGATGCGGTACGACTGGCAAAGGAAGCACGTGAACTATGTGCGAAGGGTGGACTAAGGTTACACAAATTCGTGTCCAACAACTCTGAAGTTTTAAAAAGCATTCCAGCTTCAGAGCATGCAACAGATACAAGAACAAAGGACTTGACGTTTAATGAAACACAGACAGAAAGAGCACTTGGGATTTATTGGAATGTGGAGAAGGATTGCTTTACATTCAACATCACACTAAAGGACCAACCACCAACCAGACGTGGCATCTTGTCCACAGTCGCAGCAATATACGACCCCCTTGGCTTCATTGCTCCCTATGTGCTGAAAGGAAAGGGGATTCTTCAAGAAATGTGTCGTCAAGGAACAGACTGGGACGATCCTCTACCCGAACATCTTAAGCCACGGTGGGAGGGCTGGAAAAGAGATCTACACAATCTAAAAGATGTGCAAATCAGCAGATGTTATGTTCCTGCAGATTTTGGAGAAGTGGTAAAAAGAGAAATACACCACTTTTCCGATGCAAGCACCACAGGATATGGACAGTGTTCTTATCTCAGACTCATAAACAAAAGGGAAGATGTCCACTGTACCTTCATCATGGGCAAAGCACGCGTCTCTCCAACAAAGGTCACCACGATCCCAAGGTTAGAGCTTACCGCAGCCGCCGTATCAGTCTGTGTAAGTAACACGCTAAGAGAGGAACTGCTCTATGACAATGTTGAGGAGTTCTTCTGGACAGACTCAAAGGTCACTCTAGGATACATAAACAACGATGCGAGACGGTTTCACACGTTTGTTGCTAATAGAGTGCAGAAAATCCGCAATAGTACCTCACCACAACAGTGGTTTTACGTGCCTACCAGCGAAAACCCAGCAGACATGGCATCCAGGGGCACAGCTGTAAATGAACTGCTTTCATCTAATTGGTTCACAGGCCCTCACTTCCTGTGGGAAAAGAAAATACAGCTTCCAACAAAAGAGACCATTGCACTTACAGTAGGAGACCCAGAGGTAAGAAAGGTACAGACACTAAACACAGAAACGGTTGAACATGCAAGCCTCAGTGACCGGCTCACAAAGTTCTCATCCTGGTCCCGTGCAGTCAGCGCAGTCGCACGCCTCAGACGATACCTGCTCAAAGACAAATCAAAGACACTCACAACTGTAACGGAAAGACAAAACACAGAAATGGTGATAATCAAAGACTTACAAAGACAAGCATATCAAAACGAAATAGAGACATTAAACAAAGGAAAACAACTTCCAAAGAACAACAAAATGTACAACTTGGATGTTCTCTTGGACAAGGACAATGTGCTTAAGGTGGGAGGAAGGCTCCATCACTCATCTCTTCCCAGCTCATTTAAACATCCAACAATCATTCCCAGAGAACATCACATCACAAAACTGATAATTGCTCACTGCCACGAAAGGGTCAATCATCAGGGAAAGGGCTTCACAATGAATGAGATACGATCCAATGGCTATTGGATCCCAAAGTTGAGTCAAACGGTTGCATCCTACATTCGCCGGTGTGTGTTTTGTCGGAAACAAAGGAGACCCGTGGAAGGGCAAAAAATGAGAGACTTACCCACAGAAAGAATTGAACACTCTCCGCCTTTCACATATTGTGGTATGGACGTTTTTGGACCGTTTCTGACCAAACAAGCCAGGAAAGAGTATAAAAGGTATGGCCTCCTTTTTACATGCTTTTATTCACGTGCAATTCATGTCGAAATGTTAGAAGACCTATCAACAGACACTTTTATAAATGGACTCAGATGTTTCATCGCTCTAAGAGGCTCTGTCAGACAAATAAAATGCGATCAGGGTACCAATTTTGTAGGTGCCAGAAACGAACTGAGTGCAGCGCAAGGTGAAATTGACACTGAAAAACTGACAACCTTCCTTGCGGAAAAACAATGTGATTTTGTCCTAAACACACCTCATGCTAGTCACGCAGGTGGAGTATGGGAACGACAGATACGGACTGTGAGAAACGTTCTTAATGCAACATTGGCTCTCACACCAGGTCGACTCACCGACTCTTCCCTCAGAACCTTCTTGTATGAAGCAGCTGCCATAGTAAACAGCCGCCCCCTTACAACAGACAGTCTCAACGATCCAAACAGTTTGGAGCCGCTAACTCCAAATCATCTTGTCACAATGAAAACCTCAACTTCTCTGCCTCCCCCAGGACAGTTCGTTAAGGAGGACTTATATGCACAAAAACGATGGCGTCAAGTACAGTACTTGCTCGAACAATTTTGGAGCAGATGGAAAGGGGAGTACTTGCAGAACATAATGGTCAGACAAAGATGGCACAAGCCTAAAAGAAACATGCAAATAGGCGACATAGTAATGGACAAGGATGAAATGCAACCACGATCACAGTGGAAACTTGGACGAATCTTGGACACTGTAAAAGATACACACGGTCTTGTCAGAAAGGTCAAAATAGGCTTTGCAGACAGAAATCTTACCAAAAGGGGTCAACGTGTGAACAAAATGTCTGTAGTAGAACGCCCAGTACATAAGTTAGTACTGCTACTAGAAGATTGTGAAAGGTAAATTTACAATGCTCAAGTGTACTGAAAGGTTGAAGTTACAGTTGTAACACGTTTACAAGGTTATTTCTGTATTCTGGTTAAGTAACTTGAAGAAATGATTTGTGTTTTTATGTGTGTAACAGCAAATAATTTGGTGGGAGTGTAAAGGCCAACAGAGTAGTTAAGCACTATTTTGATTATAGCTACGCTATAAGGTTTTATTATTACGGTATCGGGCTTTTATTTTGATAACCAAAGAAACCGGAAGTAAAGTGACGTAAATGAACCGGGCAAACGGCGAAAAGGACGAAAGAAAAGTCTGAAAAGGTTCACGGAAAAACAGTTAAAACTACAAGGTTTAGCTTCGGTCAATTGGGGAACAAGGTTTGTAGAGTTAATGAGAAATATATTTGAGCTAGCCTACTGGAATTGCTTATTGTATAATGTATAATTTGGTAATGCTATCGTATTGAAACTAATGTAATGAGCTGTGTAACGTTCGAAATGTGATGATAATGCATGGTTTATTTGTTTTTACTCAGCTCTTACGTTGGTTGATGAGCTGGAAGACCCGCTGCAGGTTACTGGTCAGTGAATGCTACAACAGTAACGGAGAGATATTTGTGTTTGAGACGAGGACCTTGTCTGTGCCAAAGGAAGGCTAACGTTATGTGCATGGAAACATCAAACTAACGCACATTAAACTTGCATCACCCAGACGATAAGGGGAACGAGGGAAAAACAAACCGGAGCCCAACTCCTTATCCCCGCTTTCAAGCCAATACTATATAATACTATATTTAAAGCAGCCTTTAGATGCTCTAGAAAAACAGAACATGATGAATAATCAGTGAAGTAATTGGCAGATTATATTACATTACATTATCTAGCCAAAGTGTAACTAATTGCAACTCATACCACACAATTTGTTAGTATTTTGTATTTCACCCCTTAAGAGTTCTTAGTGCAAATACAAATACAAAATACATAAATACAAATATTGTATTCATTTCAGGTGTCATTTACACTGTGGATACTGGGGACATGACTCCATCACTTTTTTTTAAAGCATTTGTTAAATATGTTCTGAAAAATGGCTTGCAACAAGAAATGTTAAAAAAAACTATTGAAAATACTTTGAGAAAGATTTATTTGCACAAAAAGAAAACATGCAATGCAATTTAAAGATAAAAGAAACAAATGTGCATTGTTCAAAAAAGTTTAAGCTAAAAATATCACTTTATTTAAATAAAGACAATTCTACCATAAATTGATTGACAGATAATGTCTCCAGAATGCAGTAAACGAAGTGTTAAGTGCTCAAAATCTTCTAGGGGACCCCCATTTAAATATATTTCAGCTTTGAATATTTCATCAAATAGTGTTAAAATATCTTCTTGTCTTGTTCTTATCAAAGCACAAACGCACCCCAAGCTATAGTGTGTTAAATATGAATGTATTATAATAAAATGTTTTATTAAATTCATGTAACTTCGTAAATAATTTTCTCAAGCTTAAAATTAATACAGATTTTCCATTAAACGGCAATGAAGTTGGTATTAAATTTCATCCTAGGTGGTATTAAAAAGTTAAAAAATTCTTAAATTTAACTTTGCGAATCCTGGGGGGTAACCTGATTAAAGGTTTTGGCGCATTATAAATAAATTTCTTGTAAATGGTTGTTACAGGGTGAATAAAGCCTTTTCAGGCGGCTTCGATCCGTGGAATCGCTCTGTGCTCCTCATCAACAGACAAGCAAACAAGCACTCTGCGAGGTAACCATGGCAACGGCTGTGTAACTGACTTGAAAGTTAGTAATTATATTATTTAGGTTAGTTATAGACTCAATTATTTCATGTTCATTTAGCTGTTGAAGTTTGGTAAAAAAATGAATACAAAATAATAATTATAGAGAGGTTGCGATGGAGCAGCGATGGATTAGACACTTGTCTTTGATTCCCACTGCAACACATCCACCAAATAACTTCTTGTCATGGATCCTGCTTTGCCATCCATGTTACAATAGAGGCGCCGCCAGATTGATCGGGGTGGTGGGTCTCCGTATATTTTCTTGCTTTTTTGCCCTTTGCCAATCACATGCCTAATTAACTTGCTGCTAATGTTGTCCTCTGCTATGCTCGCTTTCACTGTCACATACTCATACTCAATACACACACATTATACTGTCTGCAAAAATTCCTCTGTGCAGCCATTGAATGGCCTGGAAAGTTGGCTTTATACCTCTTGTATTTTAAAGAAGTGACATGCTTTTGGCAGTCAATTACTCTTTTTTTGTGCACTATTTTGACATCTAATGGACAATTAAAATAATTTCATGTTCATCCATATGCAGTGACTCATGCATTGAGTTGAAGCTTGATTGTTTGATTGATTGATGTAAGCTAGCAATTATCTTCACCTACTACTGTGAGTGGAATACCTACATCTCAGGAATAACCTCTACTAAATCCTGTAGTGGCATTGATAAAATGATGAGAAATACTTAGTACATATAAAACACCAGTTTGTGTAGAGCAAAGCAACAAATTTAAAATTGTAATGTAATCAAACTGTTCTTTCTTTTGTTTCCTTACAGATATCTGATGTTTGAAAGAGTTTTGTCTCTCTGGACAGCACCAGGCCACGTATGACATAATACAAAAACACAATGTTGGACATTGCCATTCATCATATTTGCATGGTGGCTATATTCCTCTGAAGTCACACTCAGGATGCAAAGCTCAAATGCTGTTCACAAGATGATATTGTACTGTTGTTTTCCAGGTTTCAAGTTGTATAAATGTAGGGAATCTGACAAATCCTTATCATTTCACCTCTTGACCATTGTTAAGAAAGTGAAAAGGCAGTAGGGTGATTTTGTTTATTGTAATGGTCACCGTGTGAATGAGGCCTGTTTTTGTTTCATGATGCTTCTTGATGTCCACCATTTAGGTCACAAGTTCCTTGATATGTCCAGGACTGTGAACACCCAAGGTCATTTTAATAAAATATATGCCTTTTCTGCCAAGGCCTTTTGCATAAAATAAAGGGTGTTTCTTCCTTCACTGCCATTTGTGTTGGTCTCTGTTCTGAAGCATTACCTATTGTGAACACTTGATAGTAAGTCCACTATATGCTGCACTTCTCTTTTGAGGGTGAAACTTTAAAGCTATTTGTGCCCTAAAAGCCTTGAAGCTTATCATTCTTGCTTCTACAACTTACTGCCTTGACTAAACATTGTTTTCCTGAGTTTGCTGGTACTTGTTTTACTTTGTGCCTTTACTCACTGTGACATTACTGATTGAGTGTGGCTAGAGACACAACATGCCTGTTGTTAAAGTTAAACCCTTAAGCAAAGTGCAGCTTTTTACTCTTTAAAAACAACAAACAGCATTAGGTTTGATGTGATGTAGAAAGTTTGCAAACTTTATCCAATATTACAGATTTTAAATGTAAAAGTGCACTATACAATTAATATGATTTACCTTAAAATTACAAAGAAAACATTGAATTGTTGGTATGGACATATACCTTAATATTATGAGCTACATATTTAATTACAGATAACTTGTGATTTTACATACATTTGTCTGCAATTTAAGAAAACAGAAAAATACTGTATACAGTAATTTTTCTATACAAAAATGAGAAATAAATGTAATTTGTTATTATTGTCAAAAATACCTAAAATAACAGCAAGGTTGTTAATTCACATATAATGTTTGTAATTTTACAGAGTTTTGTATATAATTAAAAAAAAACTGAAAAGTACTGTAAAAAATTAAAGTTATTTTCTGTAAAATTAGGATTTTTTTTTACAGTGTAAAATGAGCTCTGTGTGTGTGTGTGTGTGTGTGTCAATGTGTGTATATTCTTATTCAGAGTCACAGTCAGCGCTTGAAATGGGCCGGTATTCATTGGTACGTATACCAGCACTTCTATATTTTAGTCTTTGGAGTACTGGGACTTTTTCTTGTGCACAGGCACTTCTCACAAGCTGCCCATTCGTTTTTCTACACTCTCCCCCGGCAGAGACTGAGAATGGAAAAGGATGAGTGATGATACAGACGCCAACATGTGAATGGGGAGTACTGGTCACAGTGCTGGCAAATTAATGCTGGTAAACTTGGAGTGTGGGTTTGGTGGATCCAGACTGCATAGGGCAATCTGGAAAATATTAAAATCAAGAAAGTACCTAGTTACATGTATTGTGGATGGTTGTAACACTTTTTAAAGAAGTGTTATAACCCACCCCACCCCTGTCAGCTAATGTTTAGCTAACTGTATTACCATAGTGGTTTGAAATTAGAAAGGAAAAAATGCATCACATGTTGCCTGAGAAACTACATAAGTCAAACAATTCTATCTGCAATAGTATAGATACTAAACAAAAAATAGCCTCGGTCAAAAAATGTACTTTCTTACCTCAAAATCAGTTCTCTATATATTCTGAATATGCCTGTTTCCAGACTTGATAACCACCATGCCTGATTTGGGAGGAAGTAGGTAAATACTGAAATTATCACCTAACTCCTATCTTATCTCTATTTGGTGGAATTGGTGTAGTTACAACTCTCCCCATGTTACAACCATACCCGGTCTCCCCTATTACACATCTAGATTTTAAATGCAAAACATAAATTAATCTTATAAAATGATGCAGTTTTATAGATTAAACTACCCAGCAGAATATAAAATTAACCAGCTACATACATACAGCTACTTACATGTTAATGCATCAATAATAATAATATAAATGTATCAAAATAAAACAGTCTAAATGGGGAATGTATTTTGTTGTTTAATGCCGGTTAGAGGATACTTTTTCCCACACTGTTAATTTGTTATTATTAAAACCTGAAAAAGTATTTCAATGCCAATTTAGACGGACACACTCTTGGTTGTGAACCAGCTGAACCCTCCTCCCTTCATCTCTCCCCTCCACTCACCATCCACGGCGGGAGCCCGCAAACAGTGGGATGGTGCGCGCTCCCGCGGTCAAGCGTCTGTGCACTCGATTAAAGAGGAGTCGACACACTGGGAGTGAAGATGGCGATGAGGGCAGCGCTGCGGTGCCTCTCTGCAAACTTTCCCCGCACACTGCCTCAGCTCTCGACAGCAGCGCAGGTTTCAGCGACTCGGCTGCTGTGGAGGAGCGACTCTCCGCGGACACTGAGCACGACCTCGGCCCTGTCCACAGGTAAAAAATAATCACGGCTTCCCAAAGGGGCTGTAATGGTAACTTATGTAGTAACTTACATGCAGACTGGGCGCGCATTCTGTGTGCAGTAAGGGAAGAAACTCACGCAGTTCGTTTCCCTTTCCCACAGCAGAGGAATGAGACGGGAGGGCAGCTAGCATAAAAGTTTGTTTTTAACTTGGAGGTGTCATGTACTTAAAACTTTAGTGCAGGAAATAAGCAGCGACCACTCAAAGTATATAACAAGGTTTTACTTTTAACCCATTTGACGTCGTTGGAAGACTTCGTCAAATGGGATGTTAACACATGACCTTACTGTCTCGTGCACCACGTAGTATCTTATTAAGCACAAGTCACCCAAGTTTCTGGAGATGTGCCACAAATAGCTGTGGAGTGATGTATTTCATGTGTACAATAAATTCATTCTTCTTCTTCACAGACATATTAAAGCTTTTTCAAGGCTCCTGGCCAGTTTAATAATTATAAAAACATTCCTCCGGGCCTTTGCAGCAGAAATATTTTGCAGTCAGGACTGACTCTGCTCTCCCCAGCCATGCATCAGCATCTCAGCACAGTTCACAATCTGGTTCAAACCTGTATTTTTCTGCATGGTCTGATGCCTACACTGGAAATTGTTGAGGCATTGTGGTTCTTCCCTCAGGGTATTGTAAAGATGACAGCATGAGCTTGGAATCAAAAGGCTCTAACTGTTGTTGGTTTTTCTGTTTTGTTATTACAGTAGATCAACCAGATCGAGGTATTTTTATGTGCATGCGTTTTCACCTTGTTCTGTCATGTCACTGATCCATTCCCACACCTGCAGAAAGCTCATGTTTTTTGACAAGTGATTTTTTGAGGTTGTCTCATTGCTACCTGTAAACCACATTTAATTTCCTCTAATTGACTGCACATGGAGTTTGTTGCATAGGAGACAGCCCTCTCTTCAGCTTTGCTCCAGAGTACAGTAAGGTGTTCACTGGACATCCAAATTATGTGCTTTGAGACTGCTGGGCTTCCTTGTATGTATTTCACAAGATTAATCAAAGCACCAACGTTTAAGTTCATAAAGATTCATAGTTTCATGTGGTCTACACACACTAATTAATTGATCTGTTCCAAACTAACTTGTTCCCTTGTTCTCTCTGCAGCCCTAAAGCTCACAGATAAGCATGAGTGGGTGAAGGTGGAGGGGGGAATTGGCACCGTTGGCATCAGCAATTATGCTCAGGTAGGTTGTAGAGTCTGTTTCCTTACTAATCATTAATTTATAACACACTTGTTTCAGAGGTTTTCTGATGGCGATCTAAAAATAGTGATATGTCTGCAGTGTGCAGTTCAGTACTGCACTTTGTCCTCAGTTGAAGCAACTGTACAATAACAAGCTAATTTACTATTTTATGATTATTGTTTAGAGACAATTGATTACCGCCAAACTGCACTTTGTACTTGCTTACCTATAGATGTTCAAAGCTTTGAATTTTAAGGTAGATGTCTTTTGTCTTCGACTTGAGTGCAGCTTTTAGAACAACGATACTTACAGGCGTTGTCATATGTTGAGCAGTGGCAGCTAATCTGGCAGCAGGCGCCACCCAGGTTTGCCACACAGCCACTGACATCAAAAGGTCAAATGATTTTATCTCTGCTGCTGACCGGTCAAAAGCACTTCCAGTAGGATTGTACTTTAATGTGATGCAAGATGGTGATATTGAAGTGGAGGGACCCGGCGTTTGCCGTTGCTTGTTTCTAAAACAACACTGCAAATATAACATCTGCAGGGACAATAGGTTAACGTCTAGCTTGGTTCAAGACTGCTGAATCCACTGCCCACATCTCCCAGTATTCTCAGTGATTCAGATAGATCACCTGAATTTTCAGACACGTCCTCTTTGCTTTTTTTAATACCTCTGTTTATATTCAATAACCCCCCCAATAGCCACTGCATTCAAAAACTGTGGATGTGAGTATTTCTGAGCAAAGTGTGGACTTTAATGATTTGCATTTATACTTTAGTTAGGGACTGTGAACTTTGAGCAAACCTCTGAACGTGTGTGCCCACAGCATCCTGGAAAGGGGAAGTGTAAATGTACTACAAGTAGCCAGATGGAATAAATGTATAGAAAACAACAATGACTATAGTAAACAATGATAGTCTACCTACTAATGGTATTTCTTTTGTAGACTTCAGGCTCCTGTTCCCGTGGTTCTCTAAAATGCCTTAAAATTTGTTGAGTCCTTAATTTGGATGTTCAATACACCTGCTTTTTAGACAGGTTTAGACTTCATAAAGCAGGTGGAAGTACAACTAAAGCCGCCATGATCCCTTATTTTAAGACTTAATTTATTGGCTGAAGCAATCATGCCAAATTGTGGAAATGGTAAAAGTAAAAAGAATGCAATACTACTGTGATTTGTACCAAAAGGCAACTCTTGCTTTGCTTTAAGACTTTGCACATGCTGCATTTATGCAGGGAACACAATCTAACAGTTCAAAGACAGAGCTTTCTCTAATGTCTAATGCCTGTGTGCTGTGTAAAAAGGCATGGAGACTAGCTTGCTTTCCCACTTCCCATCACTGAGTAGAGGATCTTGAGCTAGCTACCAAATTTGAGTCTCATTTAAGGCCTTCAAATTCCAAAATCAATTGTGCCATCCACCGCTAGTTCAGTTGCATGAGTATAGCAAACCAAAGGACAGCAGACAACTTATAACTCCAGCCAGTTTATACTATAAATGGATGCCACTTCCTGTAACAAATATTACATAACTGGTTGGCATAAACACTCTGTAGGTACAGCTCTTCCAGTTTGTGTATGAATGAACAGAAATGAGGAGAACGTTTATCTTGTTGATTTCTTGCTTGAAAAAGTATTTATCAGGCTGACTACGATCAGCTGTACTTTATGATCGAGTAACATACAGTATATGTCTCTGTGGCAGTAATCTGAGTACATTATGCCAGTTTTGCAAAATGTGTCCCCTTAAAGAATACGTCTGGTAAAGACGAGGAACGATGTATAGTTATGCATTCCTAAAATATTGATCCTACTAATAAGTATTATTAGATTAGTAGTCTGTGCCAGTAAGTGTCACACTGGAAGATATGTTCCTTTATAACGATGAAAATTGTAATAAAGGCACTGTAGTTTATTTAAGTCAATCCTACTTACACCGTGCTCCTGCTTTAAATACTCACTAAAGCACCAAATGCGATATATACTACTTTTTGAGTAATATTTACTAAAACTACAGTGCCCAGCTATTGTAACCAGTTTTTAAAGATTGACGTCTTCAGTAGACACTAATGGGCTCGGGGTTGGGAGCCACAGACAGGCTGAGGAAGTATTGAGAGATGGACAAGTAGTAGGAGAGCAAGATGGTTTTGATTTTTCATGGGATTGACAATAAAGAATATAGAATATAGCCAACTTTATTGTCTTAAAATACAGATTTTATTATTATTGCTTTTAATATAATACTTTAAGTATCTTATAATTCATATAGTTTGTTCTGTTATTTTAGGAAGCATTAGGTGACGTGGTATACTGTGGACTCCCTGAAGTTGGCCAGAGACTTGAACAAATGGGTAATAGCCTAGAATACACTGCACATTATGTAAGGAATTGAGTCTAGCCGTGTGATTAGAAGTATCTGTCATGTTGTTTGTGTTTGTGTGTGTGTGTGTGTGTGTGTGTGTGTTGTAGAGGAGTTTGGTGCCTTGGAAAGCGTAAAGGCTGCCAGTGAGCTATACTCACCGCTGACGGGAGAAGTGACTGAAATCAACACGGAACTGGCAGAGAATCCTGGACTTGTGAATAAAGCCTGCTATGCAGAGGGTAAGCGTCTCACACTCACTGTTGTTCTTTTCTAGTACATTTGTCATAGTCCTTTCCAGGAATTTCTCCCATTAGATTTGTGGCCAAGGCATATGACAACTCGCCAAAAGTTTGTTCATGTGAACATGTACATTTTTGACTTTAAAGATATGAACTCCTGCTTTTCAGGGTGGCTAATCAAGATGACGATTGAAAAGCCTGAAGAACTCGATAGCCTCATGGATCAAGCTGCGTATGATAAATTTATTAAGTCACTTGAAGAGTAAACTTGTAAACTTGCTGTGCTGTTTTATAATGTAACTGCAATCAAAGATTAGTGGGAAGGATTACTAACATTTTGTGTCACTTACAAGGTTAGGATTTTTTAGCTACTAGCCAACCTAAAGGGCTCTTCATCACAAGATCTGTCAGTATTATTATCCAGTGTCAAATGTGCACAGATGTGCGAAGAGACTGCAAAGTGATTGTTGTAAGTGCCATGTCAAAAATAAAATGTGGTCATTATGTTTGAATAAAATCACCCCTGTGATTTATTTATTTACTTATACATATCAAACTTAACTTTTGCTTATGTCTGTGAACTTGTAACAGCAACATTTAATTTAAATCACATTCAACTACAGTAAACATGCAGGAATGTGTTGTGATGGTGTTGGTGTCAAGATGGGACCAATTCACACAGCAACAGGGACAATATAACTTGACATCCTGTTAAGAAAAAGGCTCATGCACAGTGTATGTAGACGGTAGACATGTTCACATCATGTTGCTGTACATGTGCTGACAGAGCATGCTGCTTCATTGTGCATATTACACTTCCACACACCTAGACCTTTGCCCTCAGGCGAACATAGGCAGAGATTGCAGAAGCTAGTTGGTAAATGATTAATGAAGCAGGGGTTTTCAAATAAGTGACTGAACTGCTCTCTCAGGCTGATAAAGAGCAGTAATTGGTATTCTTGTTGTCACAGTTGCTTAAAGTCACTGAGAATAAAAATGTCTTTCACCTAGTTCATTCTATCAACATTGCTATAAAATAATTTGTATAACAAAAGTGTAATTTTGTATTAGTTTTATCCTACAATGCAATACCTTTCTCTTGAAGCAGAAGCTGTTGACATTCTTTTTTCTTTTGCACAGTTTATGATTGCTGCAACATGCAAAGTATGAAAGCGGTTTAATTTGATCAAGACCTATAATTATATTTTTAGAAGTCTTTATGTCCCTTTACTGCGTTCACAGTTGATAGACTGACTGCATGCAGAGAGACAAGTTGAGGCAGTAGTGCACGCAGAGAAAATGTTAAATACATTCACACAGAATTAGTAAGAAATAAGTAAATAATAAACCTGGAGCAGAACCCAGACTCAGGGTGGGGGCCAACTGCCTCGACTGGTTGGTTGAGAGAGAGAGAGAGAGAGAGAGCAGGAGGAAAGAGAACACAGCACAATGCAATTTCCACATAGAGATGTAAAGTCATGGTAATAATACAGATATCACTAAAAATAATAATTGTAGCAGCGGTTGGTTTACAACCACAGACCCAGACTATAGCTCCGGAGGCAGAAACACCTGCAGAAAGCAATAGAGGAAGAGAGGAGAGGGACGAGAAAGCACATCATTACGGGAGGGGGAAGAAGTCGACTTAGCAACATGCATTAATGGAATAAGAATGCATACAGATAGAGAAGGAGAGGAGGAGTGAAGAGCTCAGTGAATCACAGGAATCTCCCTGCAGTCTAGGCGCGTAGCAGCGTAACTAAGGGATGGTTCAGGGCTACCAGAGCAAGCCCTAACTATAAGCTTTATCAAAGAGGAATGATAATAATAGCAAGCACTATACCTTAAAACAATTCAATTTTATATTTAAAGTAAATTTGGTTCTCTAAAGAGTCCTACTGAAATCACAGTGTCAAGCTCCAGGGAATGCTGAAGGTTGTACATGAAACAAAGTGAAACAACCTTTCCCAGGTCACTGCTGTGCTGTTCTGATTTATGCTGTCATAAACAGGGGACCAGTCCATGTTTTTACATATATTAGAAGTGAGTTTTGTAGCAATGATTATAAATCTATCCACAGAATATGAGTGAATATGTCTTTATCATATCAATTTATAGAACAAGGTTGATTCCCAATCCTTGTGTTCATATGAGAAGGCTAATTTTCATGAGGGTTTTTTTTTAATGCTGATGCTTCATTGATGGATTGTGAAACAATGAGACTTCTAAATAGCCCCCGCTCTTGCCTGCCAAAAAACAGTAGTAATGAGGAGTAAAACCAACTGAGCAGGTCATCCATACTGTTGACCGTAACCTTTTACTCTTGCTAATAACAATCACTAACAGACCCGGGCATAGGGGCCCCCTGACCTACTGCACATCACACACATACATAGTTTTTGACAGTATTTCAAGACTAGTATTTAACACATAGAAATAACCCTTTTAAATTGTTGTCTTTGGTCATTTGGAAATGACAGCTATACCCTGTCATTTCCAACTACAAAAAAATCATTTTTGGTACCAGTTGAAGCCTGTTTACTGTCAGTGTGTTTTCTTTCTGTAAAGCAATTTAACAAAATGTAGCCATGCCAACTACAGAATACTGATGAAAAGTGCTAGGCCTACATCTAGTGGCCAGTGCAAAAACTTCACCTCCAATTGTAATTTACATAAAGTGTAGTATCAAAACTCTGAACACTAAATTAGATCATGAGAACATAATTACATAAACATCAGCACGTGTAGCAACATGAGCACATACTAAAGCTTTGTAAATGTAAATTACATTATTTAAAACAATCACAATACACTTAATAAAAATTCAATGCTTAGGCATTATGAGGCTTTAAAGGCTTTCAGCAGTGATTATTACACTACTATCCTAGTTCAAACTTTTGTGGCAAAAATAGATGTTCCTAAATCATTGGATTGATAAATCTCCACACTTTTTGGTAACCCCATTTTTATTTCAAAACAAAACACGTTATTTCCTAATGTAAAGTAGCATCATTAACTGCTGTGATATTCATCATATTTTTTTAGTTAGAGTTATTAGGGGGGTCGGGATTATAACAAAGATGAATAAAGTGTGATGACCACGTACTTACTTCCTGTTTTGCTTACATGAAATAGTTCTTTTTCTGTTTTAAATACAGTCTATGGTTTTAGCGCACATTTATCTTTTTTGTAAAGAATTGTGTAGCACATGTACAAGAACATAACGTTCAGCAGTTTAGCTCTGCTGAAAAGAAACGCTTTCGGCAATTGTAGCCGAGTGGGGTTGCTTAGTTTAACTCTAAGTCATGGTTGTAAACTCACATACTATGAAATCGCTTCTGCCCAGATATGATATAAAAAACATATACAACGTATTTGTCAAACTTCCAATACCGTCATTATATGTATTTTTGTGATATATACTTTATCACTATCTTTAAATATTATCTTTGTCTGTGGTGATAATGCTCCTCTATATACTCTTTGATAACGTCTGTTCAACCATTGGCTGGTTGATACATATCCCACAATTCACCGCATTACAACTTCCTTTTTCCTTTCGGCCATTTTCCTCCCTCGTAGGTATCATTTTTTTCCCGCTACAGATTTAGAAAGAATCTATCTTAATCCTTGGTATTTTGTCGACATTTGTGCATTTCACGTACAGCCCGAAATAGTGTGTCTTGTCACCTTTTAAATAAGGTTATTATTGTCATAGTTTTCAATTTGCAAATTGCTGAACAACATCTGTATTAGTGGTGATCCCTAGTCAAGTGCTGTTTGTGTGTGGCTGTTGGCATGCCGCTACAGGACGAATGTTGTAGCTCCATACTTAAATAATTCAATTAAATGAGTATACGTAACGAATGCTGACATAGCAAAAACTAGTAATTATGGCGTGTTGCAGTCGTTAACGCGAATTGTCCGTCACACAGCCAATAAGCCTGGTTAACCTGCTAGCTTAGCATCGCAGACGTAGCTCCGTGAGGACTGATACTAGTGTGCCGGCGTGATCGTCAGCTTATGTCTGTGTGCCACGCTGTGTTGCAGGGAAGTAGGCAGCCATGGCCCCCAGCCGGAATGGAATGATCCTGAACCCTCACTTCCACAAAGACTGGCAGAAGAGAGTGCGCACCTGGTTCAACCAGCCAGCCAGGAAGATCCGCAGGTGAGAGATGCTAACTCAAGCTAACACGCCTTCCAGTCGCAACATGACTGAGTAGCAGAGACGAACTTGGTTAGCAATATGGTTTTGAGCCATTGTGAGAAATTGTCAAGATAAGCAAGCTAATATAATTAATTTATTGGTAAAAGATGTGGGATATGAGTAGTGGTTGTCAGTACCAGGGTTCCTAATAATTTATTTTTAGCTGGACATGGACTCTCAAACTTTCTTGACTTTAGTTAGTAAAGGCCGGTGTGACACCAAAATGTGACCTATCAGATTCTGTGACCCAAATGGGAAGTTAAGCGCCAGAGGCTTTGTTGACGATGTGAAGTGGTTGTAGTTTGGTTGGCTTTAGGCACCAAAAGTACTTGGTTATGGTTTGGAAATCATCGTCGTTTGGGGGTAGTCACAGAATCTGATAGGTCACAGATTTTGGTGTTACACCGGAAAAAACAGTCAAGTCAGGGAAGTTTTATATTTGTGGGCCTGCTTTGATGTGCATCTTGTTGTAATGAGGGTGGGATGTCTGTAAACACAGACATGATTTTGATTAATCAAGCCCAAGATCAACGTGCTGTATGGTTGCACTACTACAGCCTTTCTTTCTATCACAGGATCATCACTAAGAACGTAGTGTCATAATGTTTGTGAAACACGAAGTCAATTCTTCATCTAGACTAAAAAGTCTGCAAAGAGAATAATGTGTGAGTGAGAGGCAAAACGTAACATAACTATTTGCTAATTGTTTAAATTTTGTGATACTCAAAAGCATGACTACAAAAAACCCCAGATCGCACTACTTTGGAGACGGACGTTTGGTATTTTCAGTCCTCACTGCTGTCTGTGGCTTCCTTCCATTCATTTAATCTGTTCAAACATCAGTCACGCAATAATAAACCACAGAGAGAAACACAATGACTTATGTATTTGTCAGTTTGTAGTGTTGATTAAAATACCTCTTTCTTTAGGCGAAAGGCTCGTCAGGCCAAGGCTCGACTTATTGCTCCCCGTCCTGTCGCTGGACCACTGAGGCCACAGGTCAGGTGTCCCACCATAAGGTACCACACCAAGGTTCGTGCCGGACGTGGCTTCACCCTGGAGGAACTCAAGGTAATACTATCTAGTTCAATTTGTTTTATATGGAGATTTAACTACTGGCAATGTTTGAAAACTGCCGAAGTGCTGAATTAACTGCTTTAAAGTTAAAAATGCAGCAAACTAGCTGGCTGATGGCATTTAAGTGTCTGGTTGGCTAGAAACTTATTTGTATGTCTGTGTGACCCTAAAACCCAGTGTTTGTCAAGGTGACTTCAACGTCGTAAATGCTATTGACAACTATTGTGCAATAGAAC